TAGCAGTTCTTTCCAATTTGGCTATTTTCCCATGAACTTGTCGGTCCAAGTTCCCATGGTCGAGCTCACACTCTACTTACACTCCAAGTTTGACCGACCAATAAAAGTCATGGCTCTTTTTGATACAGGTGCCACGTCAACCATACTCAATCCTAATGTGCTTCCTACTGAATATTGGCATCCACATATTCGTTGGTTTACTGCTGCTAATAGAGAACATTTTTCTACCAACCTTATCAGTAAACCCATCCTGATACAGTTTTTCCCAAACCTTATCCTTACCCATGAATGCCTTGGTTCCCACCATCCTCGCAAAGATATGGTTGTTGGATGGGACCTCCTCAATCAACTTCTTAAGGCCAAATTTACTTTTACCCCCCAAGGCCTTAAACACAAGTCCTATTTCCAACCATACAAACAGCCTCAAAACTATTTCACCACTTTATCCATCACCCCTCCTCTCTCCACAGATATTACCAAACAACTGCTTTCAGACTGTTCGGCTCAATCCCACACAGAATTCCTCACTAAATGTTCTCATCCTTTATGGCTTAATCCTGAATTTTTTGTTAGTCTTCCTTTCAAGAAAAACGAAGACATGAACCCTACTAAAGCCACTCATCCTGGTATGAATCCTGAACATTTAGCCCTGGCCCAACAAGAATTAGCTCAACTCGAAAAAGAATGCCTTATTGAACCTACTCAATCCCCATGGGCATGCCAGGCCTTTTATGTCAACAAACGAGCTGAACAAGTTCGAGGAAAACTTCGTCTTGTTATCAATTATAAACCATTAAATTGGTTTTTAGCTGATATCAAGTTTCCTCTTCCCCGGAAAGATTTTCTGTTTGGTTCTCCACCAATGCTCATGTGTTCTCCAAGTTTGATCTCAAAGCTGGATTTTGACAGCTTGGGCTCCACCTGCGATAGGGAAAAAACAGGGTTCTGCATTCCCAATCTCTACTACCATTGGACTGTCCTCCATTTTGGGCTCAAAACTGCTCATCTATTTTTCAGAAGGCCATGATCCGCATCTTCCAGCCCATTCTGAAGCAGCCTTGACTACTTGATGACATCTTGCTTTATTCTCCGGATCATTCAAGCCACTTGGCCCTGCTCCACCAGTTTTACTCCCTCTTAAAAATATGGGGTAATGCTATCAGAAAAAAGATGGTCCTCCGGACAACTACCATTGATTTTCTTGGAATGCACATGAAAATGCCAATATCAACTTCAACCTCACATTGGCCGAGAACTTCTAAGTTCCCCGCCACATCCTTTACTCTCAATGAAACCCAACAGTTTCTTGGTGTTTCAATTATTGGCCCCTTCATCAAAAAATTGTCTCCTTTAGTTTGCCCTCTCCACTCATCCCAAAAAAGACCCTCCTTCTTGGGGACCTGAACAAACCTCTTCTGTCAAACCTTAAAAAAATAGCTCTCCAGTTACCTCCACTACAAATGCCCTCTAATGCCACGCATCCTGCAGATGATGCTAGTGATTCCCATTGGTCAGCCTTCTTCTTGAAGAAATTGACAATGTCCGCAAAATTTGGATACAAGATGGACATTTCAAACCCAGTGAAGAACATTTCATTCCACTACAAAGAGATTCTTGCAGTCCGATGCGGCATTGAAAATTTGAATTTCATCTGGTCAGCCATCATTTTCTAGTAGAAATGGATATGTCCTGCTTTCCCCGCTGCTTGATTCAAACAGAAAGAAATTCCTGACGGCCAACGGCTCAGATGGGCCCAATGGTTTTCTCGTTACCAGTTCACTGTCAAGCATATTAAAGGAAAACACAATACCCTTGCTGACTTACTCTCCCGACCCAAAGCCCAAGCCCAATTTTTATATACGGCCTTATACCATATCCAAACACCATCAATCCCTGTAATATGCATGATGAACCCATTTTCAGATCAACCCCCAGAAGTTCCAGCACTTCTGAAAATAATCTGGAACAAACTTCCCAACCTTACAACACATACCAGCTTCATACTATCAAGCTACAGGATTACAAACCCTTGGTGGCTTGCATTACCATCCCCATTACCCCTCCTCACCCTCTTCCAAATATCTGACCCACACATATTTTCTACCCACCTTCTATACCTCTTGTGTGCCTCCTTTATAAACATCCTCACCATAGAATTCCCTATTCGAACCATGCCTCATACTTCTAATCTTCCATCCCCTTCCAAAATACCAACAGTTTTCTGAATATGTTTCATACCTTTCTTGAATGGTTTCACCCCCTTTCTTATGGAATATCTTTTCCAACAGAAACAAACTCTCTGCACCAGATCAACCTTCCCACTCCCATATCATCTTTACTTTTCAACGTCCCATACATGACTACGGAGCTCATTCATATTGGAACTCTCAAAGAATATCTGTTCACCCATTCTCTCTCCATACAGACTGGTCTTTCCACCTTCCTCACCTTAAACACTTCCAAACCCACATGTGCCACATAAACAAATTATCCCTCCATCTCTTTGGCCCATATATGACCCCACAGAACCACCCTGGGACACCCTTCCACATGAATACTGTCAAACCCTTATACAGGCCGTCCATCAACATGCAGATTCCCAGCAGGTTCTTCCTCCAAATCAGACCCAAAGTCAAAGATACAGTGCCTGTACACCAATTTACCCAGCTTATTACCACAGTCCCCCTCAACACTTTACCCATAACCTATGATCCAAACCTTGTTGTTACCATTCCTGTCATCCAAACTGTGACCCTGATCTTGATATGTACTAAATGACCCAGCCTACCTACAGGCCCAAGATCAAACAGCCCAAGATTCTCAAAACCCATATTCCCCTGATCCTCTTTGGTGGAAAACACTGGGTACACTCACAACCCAATGGACTCTGAAGAAGACCCAAACAGAACTGACACATCATCCTCTGAGTGATGACATCCTTGCGACATCACCTCACCCAGATCTCACACGTGGTTCTCTCCCTCTTCGGCAACATCTCAGCCTTATATTTTTATCTTTTTGCCATCGTGGTTTTACTATTTTGTCGACCGATCCTGGCCTTCCAGTTGTCTATAACATTTAAATCTCTATGTAATATGTGTATGGTGTGTGTTGCTTGTAAAAAGCCCCTCTTCCCCTATAAAAGAGGGCTCCCTTCTTGTACAAAGCAGAACGAAATCAGCAATAAAAATTTCTTCTCTCTAAAATGTCTCTCTATCTCTAAACTTCTCAATACATTAGTTCTGCTAAAGATTTCTCTGGCCGAAGCCCTCCTTCTTCACAGAAGTCTCTCGTCTAATGGACACCTCAGTTCGGCTCTGCCGCGGTTGTCCATTAACGCTGGAGTATTTTGTGATCCTGGATGCGGCGTTCTTTGCTCTCCATTCCCCTGGCCTACACTGTTACATTGCGCCTTTTAAGGGATCGGGTGTTTTATGGAGCTGCCCCTTTTTTAGAATCTAGTAGAGGCCGCGGCTCAAGAAGCCCGCCTCAGCCTTATATTTTTATCTTTTTGCCATAAGTAATAATGTTATTTTGTATTGGAAACTTCTTGTCAACCAGACTGTGTGTCTAAGGCGGCTGGTATTTAGATGGCCATGGTGCCGCACTAGACTACCTGGAGAATTTTCCAATATCTTAATAACACTATACCTGTGACATTGGAGACGTTACAGTGTCTTACTTTTTGGCCACGCCACAGGCTTATGGTCCAGCAATCTACAGCTCTGTGATATTGGTCTTCATGATCTCCCTCCCGACGTATCTTTAGTCAGAACTAATGTATACCATTTTCCTTCATGAGTAATCCTCCTTTTCAAATCAGTAAGGCCTTTTCAGTGGTAGGATGCAAAGTCTCTAGGCTGTGAGCCGTTTCTCTGGCATGAGAGGCGCAGTGTAACAGTGCAGGCCAGGGGAAATGGAGAGCACAGAACGCCGCATCCAGGATCACAAAATACTCCGCGTTATGGCACACCGCGGGAAGCCGAACTGAGTGTCCATTAAGACGAGAGACTTCTGTGAAGAAGGAGGGCTTCCGGCCGAGAAATCTTTAGCAGAACTAATGTATGAGAAGTTTAGAGATAGAGAGACATTTTAGAGAGAAGAAATTTTTATTGCTGATTTCGTTCTGCTTTGTACAAGAGGGGAGCCCTCTTTTATAGGGTTTAGAAATATTCTCATGTAGAAAGGATGAAACAGATGCAATCACTTTGCCATCCCCAACTTCTTTCATATCTTAAAGTTATGAGTTTATGTTCTTAGTGTTGATGAAGTTAATAATACCTTCAATGGCTGGAAGCTTGGTGACATTTGATAGAAATGTATAGATGTTGTGGATGCTAATTGAATAGTAGAAATGGGGAGACACAACAACAACAACTGAAATTGTTTTGACAAATTGAAGAATTGTCACTCTCTGGTTAGAAAGTCTCACATGCTTTTGCTCTGGAATTACTATTTTAATTTCCCATCTTTGGAAGAGTTCATCATACGATTGCCCCAATATGAAGACTTTCTCCAAAGGAATCTTAAGCACACCAAAGTTACAAAAGTCAAGTGTCAATATTCAACACCGACTTCCACTGGTGGGAATTAATGGAAGTAGAGAATGAACTTAATAAACCATACAAGGAGCATACAAAAAAACAGGTATGTGTATTCATAATTAGTTAAATATTTATTTTTAAATAATATATGTTTTTAGTGTTAATTATAATAAGTTATTTTTTAAAGTTAGTTTGTATTTAGGTTGACATTATTGTTGACCTAGTGGCCAACACATACTTAGACACCTCACTTTATTACTAGGATACAACAAACCTGGTCTATATTTTTCTTAGAAATTTCTAAAACTACACGATTGATAAAATTTTTCTAACAACCATTAATTCATCATTTTTTTTTCCTTTGTCTTGTTAAATATATATAGAATTATTATATCTTTTTAAGGGAAATATTAATTTTAATTTGATTGACATGATTTTTCTTTAGGTTGACTCCAATTTGATGGAATTGACATTAAGCGGAAGGGACATCATATCAATTTGGGAAGGAGAGTTTCCAAAGAGCTTTAGCAAAGTAAAAACTCTTCAATTGATTAAGGATGAATATGCAAATATCCAATTCAGATCCTTCATAAATTTAACTGTCTTGAAAAACTCATATTGAAAGTGAGTTCATATGAAGAGATATTCTCATTTGGAGAGGATAAGGAACACGTTAGAGCACTCACAAAATTAAAGATTTTAGTGTTGCATGGACTTTTTAATTTAAAGTGCATTTGGAAACAAGGCTCCCAATTGAACTCAATTCTTCAAAATCTTGATTGTCTAGATGTGCAATATTGTCACAATTTGACTACTCTGTTGCCATCTTTAGCATCTTTTGAAAATCTGAGGACTTTGAAGGTTTCGTGTTGCAATGGAATGTTAAACTTAATGTCATCCTCAACAACCAAAAGTTTAGTGCGACTAGAAGAGTTGGATATATATTCATGTGAAATGATGATAGAAGTATTAGTAAATGAGAGAGGTATAGAGAAAGGTGAGATTGTTTTTGAGAAATTGAAGAATTTGCGTTTGCATAATTTAGAAAGTCCCACATGCTTTTGCTCCGGGGATTACAACACCTTGAAATTCCCTTTCTTGGAAAGAATATATGTGAATGAATGCTCCAAGATGAAAACTTTCTTTAGAGTAGGCTTAAGCATGCCAAGATTACATAAGTTGAACAGGGAGAGATTGTTCGGAGAGTGACTAATACAATCATACAACAATTACAAAATGGTAAGTATTAATTTACTTAACAATATACTTTTTCCATAGACTTCTTCGTTCTCCTTCGTTGAATTAATACTCGTTAGTCTTTATTATTAATTTTGTCTTTACTAAATATCATCTAAGTGAATCAATTATAGACTATCAAGTTTATGTAGAAAAAATCTACAACAGTACAATTTATGTTTCTTTAAAGTTAATTTATATGTGTTTTTTAAGCATACATTGATGTAGATGAGGAAATTCCTCATTTTTTTGTTTAATTGATAAATTATGATTAATTTAGAGTCCGAAAATAGCATTATTTATAGTTTTTGCTTTTACTATTAATGTGTTGTTCTTAATTATTACATATTGTTCAGAGTTATGGGAAAGATTCCTAGGTAAGAATAATGTTCATCAACACACAACAAAGTCATGTGGTAAGTGTGTGGTGTTAGATGACTTGACCCTTCTTTTTAAACATAATTCAAAAGAATATATATAAGTTGCCTTCGCTAATTCAATTGATTATCTAGATTTCGGGGTATATATTTTAAGAAATTATACAGTTAAATGTGATATTAATTAAACATTTAAGGGACTATTAAAATATTCTGTAAGGGCAAAATTAAAATGATTTAAGCATATGAGGGACTTCAGTGATACTATCCAATCATGTAAAGAAAATATAACGATGGTGATGTCAGCTGCTCTGGAATAGAGTTAGGTGTCTCTTTCCTTGGTGGCTAACGGCGATATCCGGCTAAATTCAAGTCCTCTCTAGTATCCGGCTACGCAGCTTCAGTTTACAGTCAATATCAAACGAGTGGTATTGACCACGCGCGTCCTCTCTCTTTTGTTCTTTGTAACCCTTTCAAAATTGTAGACCGTCCTGCCAGTTCAATCACCGGCAATTTAAGTCATTTTCATCGTTTCAAATACTTATCATTAAACCTAATAGAACATATGTATTAATATTTGTTAATTTTTAAATTTCACAGATGAGATTGCCTAGTTGTTCCCGAATCTTTAACAAAGATCGGCAAAATTGGTGCCAAATGATGTCGAATACGCTTCAAGCAGGTTAGAAGCTGAAAATTGGCATCGTATTTTTCTGGGCTCTTGGTGATAGGTGAACACAATGTGATCATATATGAAGTTGTAGTTTTAAAACGTGATTTGCTTGAAATGTTGTTTGGAAATGTGATTTTTGTGTTTCTTTGCTAGATTACTTGCATGATCGTGCGAAAGGTAGTATCCGATTTAGGATAGGTGCAGCAAGGATTCCAGTGTCTATAACATTTATAACTCTATTGATATGTGTAGGTGGTGTGTTGCTTGAAAAAGCCCCTCTTCCCTATAAAAGAGGGCTCCCCTTCTTGTACAAAGAGAACGAAATCAGCAATAAAAATTTCTCTCTCTAAAATGTCTCTCTATCTCTAAACTTCCAATACATTAGTTCTGCTAAAGATTTCTCTGGCCGGAAGCCCTCCTTCTTCACAGAAGTCTCTCGTCTTAATGGACACTCAGTTCGGCTCTGCCGCGGTTGTCCATTACACTAGAGTATTTTGTGATCCTGATGCGGCGTTCTTTGCTCTCCATTTCCCGCGCTACATTGTTACACTGCGCCTTTTAAGGGATACGGTGTTTTTATGGAGCTGGCCTCCTTTTTAGAATCTAGTAGAGCCCGCGGCTCAAGAAGCCCGCCTCAGCCTTATATTTTTATCTTTTGCCATAAGTAATAATGTTATTTTGTATTGGAAACTTCTTGTCAACCAGACTGTGTGTCTAAGGCGGCTGGTTATTAAGATGGCCATGGTGCCGCACTAGACTACCTGGAGAATTTTCCAATATCTTAATAACACATACCTGTGACATTGGAGACTTACAGTGTCTTACTTTCCTGTGCCACGCCACAGGCTATATGGTCCAGCAATCTACATCTCTGTGATATTGGTCTTCATTCTTCCCTCGCCAGAGAATACTTTAGTCAGAACTATGTATACCATTTTCCTTCATGAGTAATCCTCCTTTTCAGAACTAGTAAGGCCTTTTCAGTGGTAGGATGCAAAGTCTCATAGGCTGTGAGCCGTTTCTCTGGCATGAGAGGCGCAGTGTAACAGTGCCCAGGGAAATGGAAGCACGAACGCCGCATCCAGATCACAAAAATACTCCAGCGTTAATGGACAACCGCGGCAGAGCCGAACTGAGTGTCCATTAAGACGAGAGACTTCTGTGAAGAAGGAGGGCTTCCGGCCAGAGAAATCTTTAGCAGAACTATGTATGGAGAAGTTTAGAGATAGGAGACATTTAGAGAGAAGAAATTTTTATTGCTGATTTCGTTCTGCTTTGTACAAGAAGGGGAGCCCTCTTTTATAGGGTTTAGAAATATTCCATGTAGAAAGGATGAGAAACAGATGCAATCACTGGTGCATCCCCAACTTCTTTCAAATATCTTAAAGTTATGAGTTTATGTTCTGTAGTGGGTTGATGAAGTTAATAACACCTTCAATGGCTGGAAGCTTGGTGCATTTGATAGAATGAGTATAGAATGTTGTGGAATGCTAATTGAAATAGTAAAAATGAGGGAGAGCAACAACAACAACTGAAATTGTTTTTGACAAATTGAAGAAGTTGTCACTTCTCTGGTTGAAAGTCTCACTGCTTTTGCTCTGAATACTATTTAATTTCCCATCTTTGGAAGAGTTCATCATACGGGATTGCCCCAATATGAAGACTTTCTCCAAAGGAATCTTAAGCACACCAAAGTTACAAAAGTCAAGTGTCAAATATTCAACACCGACTTCCACTGGTGGGAATTATGGAAGTAGAGAATGAACTTAATAAAACCATACAAGGAGCATACAAAAAACAGGTATGTGTATTCAATTTTAGTTTAAATATTTATTTTTAATAATATTATGTTTTTAGTGTTTTTATAAGTTATTTTTTAAAGTTAGTTTGTTTTAGGTTGAGCATTATGTTGACCTAGGGCCAACACATACTTAACACCTCACTTTATACTAGGATACAACAAACCTGGTCTATATTTTTTTAGAAATTTCTAAAACATACGATTGTATAAAAATTTCTAACAACCTTAATTCTCATTTTTTTTTCCTTGGTTCTGTTAAATATATATAAGTTATTATATCTTTTTAAGGGAAATATTAATTTTAATTTGATTGACATGATTTTTCTTTAGGTTGACTCCAATTTGATGGAATTGACATTAAGCGAAGGGACATCATATCAATTGGGAAGGAGAGTTTCCAAAGAGCTTTAGCAAGTAAAAACTCTTCAATGATTAAGGATGAATATGCAATATTCCAAAGGAAAACTTCGTCTTGTTATCAATTATAAACCATTAAATTGGTTTTTAGCTGATATCAAGTTTCCTCTTCCCCGGAAAGATTTTCTGTTTGGTTATCTCACCAATGCTCATGTGTTCTCCAAGTTTGATCTCAAAGCTGGATTTTGGCAACTTGGGCTCCATCCTGCTGATAGGGAAAAAACAGGGTTCTGCATTCCCAATCTCTACTACCATTGGACTGTCCTCCATTTTGGGCTCAAAACTGCTCCATCTATTTTTCAGAAGGCCATGATCCGCATCTTCCAGCCCATTCTGAAGCAAGCCTTAATCTACATTGATGACATCTTGCTTTATTCTCCGGATCATTCAAGCCACTTGGCCCTGCTCCACCAGTTTTACTCCCTTCTTAAAAAATATGGGGTAATGCTATCAGAAAAAAAGATGGTCCTCCGGACAACTGCCATTGATTTTCTTGGAATGCACATAGAAAATGGCCAATATCAACTTCAACCTCACATTGGCCGAGAACTTCTAAAGTTCCCCGCCACATCCCTTACTCTCAATGAAACCCAACAGTTTCTTGGTGTTGTCAATTATATGGCCCCTTTCATCAAGAAATTGTCTCCTTTAGTTTGCCCTCTCCAACTCATGCTCAAAAAAGACCCTCCTTCTTGGGGACCTGAACAAACCTCTTCTGTCAAAGCCTTAAAAGAAATAGCTCTCCAGTTACCTCCACTACAAATTCCCTCTAATGGCCAACGCATCCTGCAGACTGATGCTAGTGATTCCCATTGGTCAGCCATTCTTCTTGAAGAAATTGACAATGTCCGCAAAATTTGTGGATACAAGAGTGGACATTTCAAACCCAGTGAAGAACATTATCATTCCACATACAAAGAGATTCTTGCAGTCCGATGCGGCATTGAAAAATTTGAATTTCATCTGGTCAGCCATCATTTTCTAGTAGAAATGGATATGTCCTCGTTTCCCCGCATGCTTGAGTTCAAACAGAAAGAAATTCCTGATGGCCAACGGCTCAGATGGGCCCAATGGTTTTCTCGTTGCCAGTTCACTGTCAAGCATATTAAAGGAAAACACAATACCCTTGCTGACTTACTCTCCCGACCCAAAAAGCCCAAGCCCAATTTTTATATACGGCCTATTACCCATATCCAAACACCATCAATCCCTGTAATATGCATGATGAACCCATTTTCAGATCAACCCCCAGAAGTTCCAGCACTTCTTGAAAATAATACTCTGGAACAACAACTTCCCAACCTTACAACATAATACCAGCTTCATACTATTCAAGCTACAGGATTACAAACCCTTGGTGGCTTGCATTACCATCCCCATTACCCCTTCCTCACCCTCTTCCAAATATCTGACCCACACATATTTTCTACCCACCTTCTATAACTCTTGTGGTGCCTCCTTTATAAACACATCCTAGCCATAGAATTCCCTATTCGAACCATGGCCTCATACTTCTAATCTTCCATCCCCTTCCAAAATACCAACAGTTTTCCTGAATATCTGTTTCATACCTTTCTTGAATGGTTTCACCCCCTTTCTTATTGGAAATCTCTTTTCCAACAGAAACAAACTCTCTGCACCAAGATCAACCTTCCCACCTCCCATATCATCTTTACTTTTCAACAGGTCCCATACATGACTACTGAGCTCATTCATATTGGAACTCTCAAAGAATATACTGTTCACCCATTCTCTCTCCATACAGACTGGTCTTTCCACCTTCCTCACCTTAAACACTTCCAAACCCACATGTGCCACATAAACAAATATATCCCTCCATCTCTTTGGCCCATATATGACCCCACAGAACCACCCTGGGACACCCTTCCACATGAATACTGTCAAACCCTTATACAGGCCGTCCATCAACATGCAGATTCCCGAGCAGGTTCTTCCTCCAGAATCAGACCCAAAGTCAAAGATACAGTGCCTGTTCACCAATTTACCCAGCTTATTAACCACAGTCCCCCTCAAACACTTTACCCATTAACCTATGATCCAAACCTTGTTGTTACCATTCCTGTCATCCAAACTGGTGACCCTGATCTTGATATTGTACTAAATGACCCAGCCTACCTACAGGCCCAAGATCAAACAGCCCAAGATTCTCAAAACCCATATTCCCCTGATCCTCTTTGGTGGAAAACACTTGGGTACACTCACAACCCAATGGACTCTGAAGAAGACCCAAACAGAACTGACACATCATCCTCTGAGTGATGACATCCTTGTGACATCATCCCTCACCTAGATTCTCACACGTGGTCTCTCTCCTCTGTCGGCAACATCTCAGCCTTATATTTTTATCTTTTTGCCATCTGTGTTTTACTATTTTGTCGACCAGATCCTGGCCTTCCAGTTGTCTATAACATTTATAATCTCTATGTAATATGTGTATGGTGTGTGTTGCTTGTAAAAAGCCCCTCTTCCCCTATAAAAGAGGGCTCCCCTTCTTGTACAAAGCAGAACGAAATCAGCAATAAAAATTTCTTCTCTCTAAAATGTCTCTCTATCTCTAAACTTCTCAATACATTAGTTCTGCTAAAGATTTCTCTGGCCGGAAGCCCTCCTTCTTCACAGAAGTCTCTCGTCTTAATGGACACTCAGTTCGGCTCTGCCGCGGTTGTCCATTAACACTAGAGTATTTTTGTGATCCTGGATGCGGCGTTCTTTGCTCTCCATTTCCCCTGGCCTACATTGTTACACTGCGCCTTTTAAGGGATACGGGTGTTTTATGGAGCTGGCCTCCTTTTTAGAATCTAGTAGAGGCCGCGGCTCAAGAAGCCCGCCTCAGCCTTATATTTTTATCTTTTTGCCATAAGTAATAATGTTATTTTGTATTGGAAACTTCTTGTCAACCAGACTGTGTGTCTAAGGCGGCTGGTATTTAAGATGGCCATGGTGCCGCACTAGACTACCTGGAGAATTTTCCAATATCTTAATAACACTATACCTGTGACATTGGAGACGTTACAGTGTCTTACTTTCCTGTGCCCACGCCACAGGCTAATATGGTCCAGCAATCTACATGCTCTGTGATATTGGTCTTCATGATCTTCCCTCGCCAGAGAATATCTTTAGTCAGAACTAATGTATACCATTTTCCTTCATGAGTAATCCTCCTTTTCAGAATCTAGTAGAGGCCTTTTCAGTGGTAGGATGCAAAGTCTCATAGGCTGTGAGCCGTTTCTCTGGCATGAGAGGCGCAGTGTAACAGTGCAGGCCAGGGGAAATGGAGAGCACAGAACGCCGCATCCAGGATCACAAAAATACTCCAGCGTTAATGGACAACCGCGGCNCCACATGAATACTGTCAAACCCTTATACAGGCCGTCCATCAACATGCAGATTCCCGAGCAGGTTCTTCCTCCAAAATCAGACCCAAAGTCAAAGATACAGTGCCTGTTCACCAATTTACCTAGTTTATTAACCACAGTCCCCCTCAAACACTTTACCCATTAACCTATGATCCAAACCTTGCTGTTACCATTCCTGGCATCCAAACTGGTGACCCTGATCTTGATATTGTACTAAATGACCCAGCCTACCTACAGGCCCAAGATCAAACAGCCCAAGATTCTCAAAACCCATAGTCCCCTAATCCTTTTTGGTGGAAAACACTTGGGTACACTCACAACCCAATGGACTCTGAAGAAGACCCAAACAGAACTGACACATCATCCTCTGAGTGACGACATCCTTGTGACATCATCCCTCACCCAGATTCTCACACGTGGTCTCTCTCCTCTGTCGGCAACATCTCAGCCTTATATTTTTATCTTTTTGCCATCTGTGTTTTACTGTTTTGTCGGCTAGATCCTGGCCTTCCAGTTGTCTGTAACATTTATAATCTCTATGTAATACGTGTATGGTGTGTGTTGCTTGTAAAAAGCCCCTCTTCCCCTATAAAAGAGGGCTGCCCTTCTTGTACAAAGCAGAACGAAATCAGCAATAAAAATTTCTTCTCTCTAAAATGTCTCTGTATCTCTAAACTTCTCAATACATTAGTTCTGCTAAAGATTTCTCTGGCCGGAAGCCCTCATTCTTCACAGAAGTCTCTCGTCTTAATGGACACTCAGTTCGGCTCTGCCGTGGTTGTCCATTAACGCTGGAGTATTTTTGTGATCCTGGATGCGGCGTTCTGTGCTCTCCATTTCCCCTGGCCTGCACTGTTACACTGCGCCTTTTAAGGGATACGGGTGTTTTATGGAGCTGGCTTCCTTTTTAGAATCTAGTAGAGGCCGCGGCTCAAGAAGCCCGCCTTGGCGGGCGCCACTGTAGCAGTACCGTTCATCCCCGTCTTATGTGACTGTTTAAGGGTATATTGGCTGGAAACCAGTAACCGCCTTAAAAACTGCCTAGCAGTACTTGGCGACCGCTGGTCTAACAACGCCACGTACTCCATATTTGGTATCAGAGCCAAGTGCCATGAAACCTATGAATAATTGTAGGTAAGGTGAGAATACTGCTCTCCTTGTTATAAGTAATAATGTTATTTTGTATTGGAAACTTCTTGTCAACCAGACTGTGTGTCTAAGGCGGCTGGTATTTAAGATGGCCATGGTGCCGCACCAGACTACCTGGAGCATTTTCCAATATCTTAATAACACTATACCTGTGACATTGGAGACGTTACAGTGTCTTACTTTCATGTGTCCACGCCACAGGCTAATATGGTCCAGCAATCTACATGCTTTGTGATACTGGTCTTCATGATCTTCCCTCGCCAGAGAATATCTTTAGTCAGAACTAATGTATGCCATTTTCCTTCATGAGTAATAATCTTACAAAACCAAGTCTTATACGTACTTCCTCATTTTCTAGTTCTCGCAGTTCTACCTCTTCTGCTAGTTCTTCTACAGCCCTTGTTCATACAGATTATAAAGATAAAGTCGAGTCTTTATATGAACTATCGTATTTACCTAAAGGTGATTCCACTCCGCTGGATAATCTTCTTATACCCTCTCCTTATAAAAAACCGAATCCCCCAGTCACCACCAGGATTAAAACCCTGGTTAAACCTCCCCAATATCACACTAAAGAATATGTATACAGTTCTTGTTTTGATCAGCATGGTATTCCTACAACTACATCCGAACAGTTTTTCCCTCTCCATTTTCCCTCTGAGTTAATCACTCAATGGCTTAGAGAGGATTACACACATCAGCAAGGTTTGGATCATAGGTTAATGGGTAAAGTGTTTGAGGGGGACTGTGGTTAATAAGCTGGGTAAATTGGTGAACAGGCAGGCGGTTACTGGTTTCCAGCCAATATACCCTTAACCAGACTGTGTGTCTAAGGCGGCTGGTATTTAAGATGGCCATGGTGCCGCACCAGACTACCTGGAGAATTTTCCAATATCTTAATAACACTATACCTGTGACATTGGAGACGTTACACATCTTGCTTTATTCTCCGGATCATTCAAGCCACTTGGCCCTGCGGTTGGGGAGCTGGTGGTGGTTGATGAGACTGGTTCATAAAAATGATTGGAGAATCTGTTCAGTCCACTCTTGTATCCACAAATTTTGCAGACATTGTTTCTTCTCTCTAAAATGTCTCTCTATCTCTAAACTTCTCAATACATTAGTTCTGCTAAAGATTTCTCTGAGGCGGTTACTGGTTTCCAGCCAATATACCCTTAAACAGTCACATAAGACGGGGATGAACGGTACTTGTATTCACACGACTTTAGTAGAAGCACTTCCACATTTTCAAATCTCCGAAGAAGTCCAACTGGAATATTTGCTAACTTATGATCATAACTGATCTCAAGAGTTTTAGATCGTCCCTGCCATTCAGTCCATCTCAACTTATTCTTTAATTCCAATTCCTCCAAATCAGAGTTGATCTACAAATCCATTGAAACAAAATCTAATCAACTTTTTATTTCTTTTAAAACAAAAGTTTAATTGTTGGCTCAGAATTTATAGGCTGAACACAAATCAGGGAGGCATTTTTTTTAAATAAAAAATCTAATTAAATATTTTGATAATTCAACTACAACATATTTTAAAACTAGCTAGTAAATAACATTATATTATTATTTCAAATTTCAAATCAATATTAAAATTACATTCAAAAACTAATTTTGAAAACTATTGATTAAATATAATTTTTATTTTTTTTTATTATTTAAATCCAATTCCTTCAAATCCAACTTGATCCAGAAATCCATCAAAACAAAATCCAGATAGCTTGTTATTTTCTTAAAACAAAACTTTTATTATTGGCTTAGAAGTCATAGGCCAAAGACAAATAACGGAGGCAACCTTTTTTTTTTTTTTTTAATTTTTTAAAAGAAAATCTATTTTCTTGTTTTTGATAGTTCAACTACAATCTATTTTAAAACTAGCAAGTTATATTTTTTTTATTTTTTTTATTTCAAATCAATATTAAAATTGCATTCAAAAACTTTAAAAAAAAAAAAAAAACTACTAATTAAACATACATTTTAGATATTTTGTTTTTCGTTTACATTATTTTGCAAAAAACAAAATAATATTAAGATTACATTCATTTTTATTTATTGTTTTCAAATGAATTTTTTAATGTAATTAAAACTTGGGAAGGCATAATTTAAGTTAATTTTCTTTTTCAATAAACAATGAAATAATTAAATACTCATACCTTATCATTCAAGAAGAGAGATTTTGGCTCTGAAAAATGAAGTTCACCTTCCTCGTTATTTTCTTGGAAGCTCAAATACTTTGAAGTCATGAATTTGTCACAATTTTTCACCACCAACTCTTTTAACATTGGCCATTGAAAAGTATGATAGAAGACCGTAAATTTTGGTAGATTTTGAAGCACCAATGAGGTTACATTCGAAAAGACAAAATTGTCATCTTCATTTGCTCCTTCTTCTTTTGCAACAATCTCCTCTAAAACCTTACAATTATGTATCTTTAGGTGTTGGAGTTGGTGAAGGCTTTTGGCAATGAAAGATGGAAATGCATATTTTATGTTTCCACAACCTGACAAAATCAAGTGTGTCAAATTTTGGTAGAAGGAATTTGGATGTTGGTTGTAGGAGATCTTGTAGAATTGATATCTTGGAATATCAAGAACTTCAATTCAAGGAAAATGTCCTGCAGTAAAATCAAGTTAATAGCTGTTTCAATATAAAGTAATTAAATAATAATAATTATTGTTTCTTATGGATTAGAAAAATGTGTCTATTTGTAACTCTTAATCATTTCTGAAAGGCCTAGGCCCAAACTAAACAAATAATAACATAAAGTTGCATTCTTGTCTTGCTTTATAGAGCTGATGATGCCATCCCATAACCTACAAGCTCGGATCGCATTACAACCGTTCATTCAAGTAGGGTTAAAAGTGGAAACTCATCTTTGATGTGAGTTTCACTCACGTGTGCTAAAGTAAAAGTACTTAAAAGTGTCTTCTTAGTGTTGTACGCTTGTATTGATAAACTAACAAAACTTGCTTCATCCTACAATTACTTGCAATCTTCTAGCTAAAACATAAGATTCTTAAAATAATTACTAGAATACATACCTGTTTTTTGTATGCTCCTTGTATGGTTTTATTAAGATCATTCCCCTCATTCTCTACTTCCATTATCTTCTTCCACGTCCATCCAGTCTTACTCAAGCTTATATACTTGATTTCCTCATAATCAACTTTTTGTAACTTTGGTGTGCGTAAGATTCCTTGAGAGAAAGTCTTCATATTGGGGCATCCTCCTATAATTAGCTCTTCCAACGATGGAAAATTGAAAGAGTAATTTCCAGAGCAGAAACATACGAAACTTTTTAAGTCTCGAAGTAACAACTTCTTCAAATTATCAAAAACAATTTCAGTTGTTGTTGCATCTCCTTCTCCCTCATTTTCTACTATTTCAATTAGCATTTCACAATTTACCAGGCTCATTTCTCTTAACTGTCTCAAGCTTCTAGCCATTGAAGGTGTTATTAACTTCATCAACCCACTACACCAACTTAAACTCAAAACTTCAAGATATTGGAAAGAAGTTGAGGATGGCCCTAGAGTGTTTTGCATCTGTTTCTCATCCTTTGTGTATGAGAATAATCCTTTGTATCCACAGTAAACTATTCAAGCTTTTGCAAATTTTCTAATCTCTGAAGGAGTCCAACTGGAATATTTGCTAACTTGTAATCATTAAAAATTGTTAGAGTTTTAGATTGACTCAGCCACGTAATATTATTTATTTCCAAATGCTCCAAATCAGAGTTGATCTACAAATCCATTGAAACAAAATCTAATTAGCTTTTTATTTTCTTAAAACAAAAGTTTAATGGTTGGCTAGAATTCATAGATTAAACACAAATTACGGTGACATTTTTTTAATAAATAATCTAATTAACTGTTTTTGATAATTTAACAACAATATATTCTAAAACTAGTAAATTACATTTTATTATTATTTTAAATTTCTAATCAATATTAAAATAACATTCGAAAACCATTTATGAAAACTACTGATTAAACATATTCCAATAACTTCAAATCCAACTTGATCTACAAATCCATCAAAACAAAATCTAGTTAGTTTGTTATTTTCTTAAAACAGAACTATTTTTGGCCAAAGACAAAATACCTATTTTGTTAAACACTGTTATAGATTTTATCTCCTAATCAGCTCATCCTAACGGTAAGCTGGACTTTGGACAAATTTCTTTTTTAATTAATTTTTTCAATGTCTTATAACATTATAGGCATATACTATTAAATTAGATAATGTCTTACCTTAACATAACTCTGCAAAAAATTTGTATAAATTTCTACTTACAAAGAAATTGGGTTTCAAGTTGCAAATTTTTTTTGTGTAATGTTTCCAATAATAAGAAGGTTCACTTGTTAGACATGTTTCTAGTAAAAATAAAAGGAATATTGTCAATTGACCGATAATGTATTATGAAACCATAAGAAAAAAGAAAAAAGTTCGGAACGGTATTAAAAAGAGATAAAATGTTATTAGAGATGATTAGATTTAACATTTTGTAAGGGTAAATATGGTATTCATTATTTTATAATTTTATATCTCTTTAAAGTATTTTTAGTTGATAAGTAAATTTACATTTAAATACTAATAAATCAACAGTCAAATTTATATCATAAAAGACACTACTATCCTATGAAAACTAAACATATGGCAAGACTTGCATTTAATATTGACTTTTAAAATAAACTCAAGTTTGATATTAGGCTCAATTTGTCAAATTATTTCGTGGCTGACTTAAGCTCTGGATGGTATGGTAAATTTGTCGTCTTGGTTGGTTTAGCTTGAATGAACTAGAACTGAGATGTTTGTAAATTAGTTCACAAGGACGAAGATAACCTTGAAAGAGAAACTATTTTTACGTCTATAGGATCATCAAAAGCCTTCTTTTTATTGGCATTTCTCCAGACAAGTTTGATATTTCATTTGTACATTAAAGGCATTAAATAGTATTTTTATCTTTAAAATGTTTTCTGGATCATATCTCATCTTAAAATAAACATATTTTTGACATTTTGTATGCCTTACTCTTTTTTTAGTTAATTTAAACGTATTTGAGCGGTTAAGTTTCTTCTTTTTGTTTTAAAAACTTGTGTCTTCTTTTCCGCATGTTCAAGAAAAAAATGGGGGTCAATTTTGTCATTGTCCCTATTATTATGGTATTTATGTCTTATAATTTTTTCTCTTAGATTTAATGGTAACTAACTAACGAAGTTTTGTCTTTCTTTTTTTGGCTTATAAAACTTGTGTCTTTTTCCTTATAGTTTCACAAAAGGTTGTCCTCCATTAAGGACAACCAATATAAAATTATTATTGTGATTTCTAGTAGCATTTGATGATTCCTAGAATTACTTTCTAATTTTTTGTTGAAAAAAAAAAAAGAAAAAAGAAAAAAAAAAAAAAGAAACAGATGATAAGAATCCCATTATTAAGTTTCAATTTATGTAATATATTAAAGATTTTTTTTTCTTTTCAATAAAAAAGTAAACAAGAGATTCGTACCTTATTTTCCAACCAGAGGGATTTTGGCTCTGAAATATGAAGTGAATTTTCATGGAATCTTAGGTATTTTGAAGTGAATTTGTCACATCCCTGCACCACCAACCTTTTTAACATTGGCAATTCCCAAGTGTCAATCCCATGATAGAAAGCCGTAAGTTTTGGTAAATATTGAAGCGTCAAAACTGTTACTTGTGGAAAGGCAAAATTAACAACAGCCTTTGCTCCTTCTTCTTCTGCAACAATCTCCTTTAAAATTGTACAATCGCTTATTAGAAGGTCTTGGAGAGTGGAGAGACTTTTGGCTACAGAAAATGGAAATGCATACTTTATGTTTCCACATCCATGCAAGTTCAAACGTGTCAAGGAAGACATGAATGTTGGAGGTTGGCTGTCCCAAATCTTTCTAGAACTAGTAACTTTCAGTTGCAAGGCCATCAAATTGGAGAAAATAACCTGAAGTCAAAGATAATTGATGTTTCAATATTTACTCATATGAAAAAATTAAAAAAAAAAAACAAAAAGAAGTAATAATTGATCATAGTTGAATGTTGGATTGTAGTTGACATGCCATTAGTGTTAACAATGTGTCTTTGTCTCTCTAAAAAGTTTCGTCATGAAATCAAGCATGAATTAATGAAATCAATTTGATAGAAATTACAAAGTACAAATATTAAAGAGAAGTACTTAAAATTTAACTGAAAATTTAAATCACAAGGAAAATAAAAAAAAAGAGAAGAACAAATAATTCAATACCACAGTTATGTGTTAACAAACGAGAATAAGCATCAAAGAAAACAAGAATCTATAATAAAGAAGTACAAGAGGGTTAACATCAATCAAACCTTTTCATTAAAAAGTGGTGTGATTTCATTGGATTGCAAATTAAAATTTGAACCTGCAAGATCTTCCTCATCATCTGAAGATTCTGCTAAGTTTAAGAGTTCAACATTCTTGATTCCACGAATTTCTTCTAGGGAGATGGTAGAATTAAATTTAAATTCCAACATCCTCAAAATCTCATTTTCATAAATTTTTTGATATGGGAATGAACAATCTCCTATTGATATTTTATACTTTTTAAGCTCTTTGGAAAAGAAGTCTTTAGGCAACATTTTTTTATCTTTAATATCTATTTCTAAATTGGTCAGTTGAGACAAGTACTTGAACTCCTTGAGTACTTCAACCTTCCACCAAATCCGGCATCCCTTTATATACAATTCTTCTAGTTGTGATAATTTTGATATCACATCTGGTGCAATAACTTCTAATTGTGTACAATTGCTTAAATCTAAAAGCTTTAACCCAATCAATTGACCCATTTCTATAGGCAACTCTTCAATATCAGTATCTCGCAAGCTAAGGATTTTTAGCTTCTTAAGCTTTCCGATAATAGCAACATCTTTAATTTTGCTATAGTCTAAACACAATGTTTGAAGGTTTGTCAAAAGATCAATTGACAGCGGCGATAATGAATGATGTAGTCGAAATAAATTCAATACCCTGAGCTTCGGCATTAGCTTGAAAAAGCCTTCTGGGATTTTGAAAGAAGAACTCCTTCTACTCATATCAAAAAATTCAAGTTCTGGACAATCTAATCCTTCAAGCAAAAGTTGAGTAATAATGTTATTACCAACTAAAGAGATAATTGTGCATTTTCTAAGTTTATCTTTATCTTTCCATTCGCTTTCAATGTCATTTCTCTCTGTAAATACATGGTGATCTAAATATCCACATGTTGTAGCAATAATGCGAACAACATCATGCATAGAAAATCTTTCTTTGGTATAACCATCAAATAACAAGCAAGATTCTTTGAGTTCCTTGACCACTAAATCTAGTCTATTTTGTGCTTGTTCTATTGTAAGGTTAGCTCCTTCAAGTATACCCAAACTAACGATATTCTTGAACAAGTCTGAAATGGAAGTATTATTTTCCATTAGACTAGAAATTATGAAAGTTTTCTTGAGCTCATCATGTTCTAAATAATCATAACTCAACTTAATCTTATAATATTCTTTTTTCAAAATTCTTGGGAACTGTGCTGGAGAAGGCATTCTTAGTACTCGCAAGGCATCTTTCCATTGAGATTCTTGTCTCTTGTTCCTTAATGCTTTTGCTATTGTACAAATGACAATGGGCAAACCTCCACATTCTTTACATACATCATTTGGTAAAGAATGCAGTTCACGTCTTTGAATAACATTACCTACACAAGAAGCTAGGATTATTGCATTTTCTATTCACATGCTTTTTATTTAAAAACAAGAAAAGTTCCAAGTGTTGTTGTTTTCTCTCTAGCTATCGTATTAGACTCTTTTCTAAAGAAAGCCAAATTTTTTTTTTGAAAATCTAAATAAACTACACTTTAACTCTTTTTTTTCTTTCCAAACACATTTGTCTTATCAAGAGCTCTAAGACTTGAAGACAGTTTTTATAGAAAAGAAAAATAAGCTGATAAGAAATGAGGAAATGTAAAATGAAGCTGCCAAGTCAGTTCTCATTATTATGAATTTAGGCTGAAAATAATGGGAATTACACTAAACACTTTAATTAACTAATTTTAAAATAGAAGATTGAAGATGTAGAAATAGAAATTAAGAGGATTTAAGATGTAACAAATTTTGCTGAAGGATCGATAAAATTGTATTGATGCAAAAATTTATAATTGGAGGCTAGCAAGATAAAGATAAGTGGTCAACTAGTATCACTCAAAGTAGCAAATAGTGCTATTTATTAGTACGCCAAATTTGTTGTATATTCAATTTTAAAAATTTACACTTTTAAATTTGTTGATTAGTGTCCAAGAAGCATGAAATTTCTGTTAAACTAGAGGAGTGAAGCCGCCTCACCTTCAATTCAAACCCTGATAACGAGGTGGGTGGTTTTTCTATAATCAATTTGGCTAGGGAGCTTGTTTAAACCTGGATGGTTTTGTTGTGGAAGTTGATTTGATTGGTGATCTGGTTTCGTTGTGGCTGATGTGGTAGTGGTGGTTGTTTAAGGGGTAATGGGTTGGTGTGGCTGCAACGGGGATGTGTTGTGGTGTGGGGGCAATGGAGATGTGTTGCACTTTGCATGTTGTGGTGGTGCGCTGGAGGCCAATGTGTGCGGCAATGGTTGTCATCTGGTTTGCTGTGGTTGTTGTGGTGTTGGTCTAAAGGGTGGGCTGTGGTATGGGTGCAATGGCAATGGTTGTGTTATGGATGCAATGGCGATGGTTGTGGTGTGGATGCAATGGAAGAGATGGCAACGATTTGGGTGCGGTGGTGGTGCACGGGAGGCTAATGGGAGCAACTATAGTTGTCAATAGCTGCCGATTGGGCCTTGTGGTGGGGCACGGTGTGGGTGAGGTTCGCAACTGCTGGGTTTTAACAGGAATGGAGGTTATGAAATTAAAAATGAGAAGGAAAAAAGAACGGGTTATTGGGTTATTTTTCAAAAGAATCAGTTTTAAAAAAAATGAATAAAAAGAAAGAAAAAAAAATAAGTTACGAATTTAAAAGAAAAAAAATTACAGTTATTAAATTACTTTTACAAAATCAGATTAAAAATACGAATAAAAAGAGAAAGAAAAAATACGGTTACTAGATTAAGAAAATTAAAATATAAATGAGTCACACTTAAAAAAGATAAAACAAGATTTAATATTGGGAATTACCTTTCTAACCCTTTATATTTTATATAAAAGGAGCAATTAAGTCTTTCCCTTTTTATGCCACGTTTGTAAGGGCAAATACGGGATTCCATTGCTATATTATTGTTAGGTGTCAAAAGTTATAACAATATGCTACAAACACCGGTAATTTGCACCAAATTTTTGTACCAACATACGTGACACCCAGTCAGACATATCTATCACGTTAGAGACAACACACGTCTTTCGTGAATGTATGACCATCTAACAATTATGGACGTCCGTCTATTTTTGATGGAAGACCATTCATCACGAGTAGACGAGTGTCCATGAAAATAATAATGAACTCTCATTCATATTATGATGGATGGTCGTTCTTCATGAATAGACGAGTGTCCACGAAAATAACAATAAACTCTCGTCTATATTACGTGGACGAGAGTCCATTTATTATGGACGAGTGTCCACCTCATATGGGCACCCATCCATAAAGTTTTAAAAATAAATAATGGACGCTAGTAGAAGCTCACAAGTTCTTCCCTGCTTTTGGTTGGAAAAAACTTGAACATCTAGTCCCAGAAACACTTATCAAGAGATGGAGGATTTAATCTCACTATATTCTTGAATTTTTTTTTTTTTTTTTTTTTTTTTTTTTGCTCAATCCAAGAAAGCATAACTTCTTCACCCATCTTATCAATTTTCCATTTGTGAAAAGCTAAAGACAGTTCAAGTTTCAGTCTGTACCTTTTCTCAACAATATGAAATCTAACACATTCAATAGATGCTGGAAACTAGCAACCACACGAATCTTGTCTTCCCTTTTTGATACGATTCCTTTCAATTAAAATTCTATGTTCTACCTTTTCTAGTGGCCAAACCCGAGTCCCCAACCACTTAACGTCACTTTCAGAAGGCACACGAGTCCATTTTGGAACTTCAACTTGAAAACCTGATCCTATAGAAATCATTTTCTCAACTTGTGAGCTACTAGGGGTGTCCATTATTTTTTTTTTAAATTTTATAGACAGACATCCATATGAGGTGGACACTCTTCCATAGTAAATAGACTCCCGTTCAAATAATATGGACGAGGGTCCATTATTATTTTCGTGGACGCTCGTTCATTCGTGTTGAACAATCATCCATCAAATATGGACGAACATCCATAATTGTTGGACGGTCGTTCATTTATGAAAGACGTGTGTTGTCTCTAACGTGACTGCATCTAACTGGATGCCATGTACGTCAGTACAAAAATTCAGTGCAAATTGTCGGTGTCCGTAACATTATTGAAGTTATAATGACTAACTAATGGTAAGGGGATTTATAATATTTCAGGGGATTTTGTGATTAGCTTTAATCTTAGGGGATGACAAAAAGCCAAAAATAAAATCAAAAGTAAAACTATTACAAAATAAAATATTAGAAAAAATTAAAAAGATCCCACACCCCACTTTCCCCAGCCAAACCCCACCGAGCAGCCCCAAGGCCTCCAACCCCTTGGTAAGCCGCAACCAAATCCCCACCGCAAAGAAATTTGATTTTCAGAATATTAATTAGATAATAAATAAAACTTACGCCAAAGTAATTTTGAAAAAAAAAAAAACAATTAAATTAGATTTTTTGTTTTTAATGTGATGTTATAGAGATGCCCCTAAGCTAGCACTAGTATTCTATCAATCAATTAATTATACAAATTTTAAAAATATTTCATGTTATTACTACTTTTAACTTTTTATTTATTTACATCAAACCATAACACAAATTTTATGTATTATCAAATTAAAATGTGTTATAATAATTACCTGCCATTTTCTTGAATAGAGTCCAAGCTTCTTCTTCATTTAAAATGCTCATTTCAAAATTTTTTGTGGAACCCATCTTCTCCAACACATCTTTTTTTCTTGTTGTCATCAACATTTTATTTCTTCCACGATCATCTCTAGAAGGAATTCCAACCGTCTTCAAATCTAACTCTTCCCAAATATTATCTACAATTAAAAGGATATTTTTGTCCTTCATTCTAGAATATAACTTATTTGCTCTTTCACTCTCATCTTCCTTCACATCTTCAAACTTGAGACCTAACTTTTTTGCAATTGTTGTTTGAATTTTTTTTGTATCAGGAGTTTCTGTTACCTGTAAGAGTAAAAAAATGGTCAATCGAAAACCACAAAATAAAGGAAATACAATAACAAAAGAAAACTAAACTGATAAATGTGTTTTTTATTAAATACGAAAATAAAGAAAATAAGGATGTCTTTATTAAAAACGAAGAAACAATATTTTATTAAAAGCTTACTTCTCCTTCATTATAAACGCAAATATATTTATAAATAAATATTAATATTACTTATAAATTTAAATAAGATAATATAGCGTTCCTACTAAGAAAATGAAACCTCTGATGATAAATGTTACCTCAACAAAAACAAAGTCGTCGAATAGCTTATCCTTCTCAGCTTTCTTACCAACTTCTTGCACAAGCGTGGTCTTCCCAAGACCACCCATCCCATAAACACCGATCATGTAGATATCCGCATCATTTAGTGCATTCCATACATTCGTCTCAGTGGAGGTCCTTGATTCGAAAGCGAAATAATCTTCATTAGATCTAAGCCAGATCTCCTGAGGAATAGTAGGATGGGCAACCTTATCTTCGTGCGGCAGGAATGGAAGAATATTCTTATCTAGGAGTTTACTGATATCTTCCTCCTTCAATTTGAATGCTTTCTTGCTATGTTTGTAGCGGGTGATCCAGTTGGGGCACAATCCCTTGAAACATCGAGGGTTGTTTTCTTTCTCTTGAATCAACTTCTCTGCTTCAGTAATGATCTTCTCCACATCATTCTGCCAGTCCTTAACATTCTGTTTGATCTCTTCGACGTTTCTTTCAGCAACAGTAACCATAACCTGCACTTCCTCTTCTGTATTCTTCAGCTTCCTAACTTCACCTTGGAGATTGTCAATGTTCTTCTTGTAATTGTACAAGTACTTAAATGGACGCCCAGTCAGAGCAGCCAAGCAGTTGACAAGATTCAGAAAAAAATTCCCGACACCCGCGATAGATGCAACAAGTGCGGCCATTTTAAATTTTTTTCAAGTTCGAGAAACAGAAGAGAACGAAAGTAAATGAAATTAAAACAGTGACAATAACAGTAAAACTAGTGAGGAGAAATTATGAAATCAAGGATTTTTTTTTTTTTTTGGAAAGCTTAAATAAATTGAAAAATAGAAAGAGATTATTTTTTGTACAAGAAAAGAAATAAGGGAATCAGAGAGGATTTCTTTTTTTTCTTTTTCTTAGTGTAAACAAGAAATAAGGGAAAGATAGGATTTTTCTCTTTTTTTTCTTTTTTCTAAACAGAAATAAGTTTGAAAAATAGAAGAGGAAGAAATTAAACGAAAATAAGACAGAGATAATTAACAACAAAGGTGCAAACTTAAATAACAGAACAAGAGTGCCGAGCAGAAATTCTGAAATTAAGAAATATATATGGGGACGGGAGAGTAGTGAAAAATCAAGCGAGAGAAAAGAAAGAAAATATGTGGTAATGGTTTCTGAAGCAAGAAATAAGGTAGATGACGAGAGGCTTTAAGAGGAGAGGGATGAAAGTATTTTAGTACAATATCAAACCAAAAAGACAAAGCATTATGAGAGCAAGAAACTAACAAATACCCTTATTTAAATATTTTAGGGGTCAAAAAAATGGCCAAAAAATTAGAGGCTTTTCAAAGCTGACCTTTCATCCAATTTCTTGACTTTTATACCCTTGTCTCCTTTACATAATCACTTCAACATCAAATAAGATGGCATAAACAGACTGCGAAAGTCTTTTGTTATTTGACATTTTAAACTGGTTTTTAAGGTTGTATTTTTAATCCGATTACAGGAAAAACTAATTTAAATTAGCAGAAACATAAACAAACAAATATACATATTTGGATTGAATCATAATGATTGTATTAATCAGGTTATGTGTTTAGAAATCAGGAGATCAACAATCAAAACCATTGGTAACATTAGGATATAATATTTGCGTGACAAAAAGTAAAATTTGATAAATAAACAGAACTAAACAAAGGTATATATTTAATTTCAAGTGGCAAAATTAATAATCATATATATAAAAATTTTAAAACTTTTGGTGGTATATGAGGTGGCCATGGCGGCTATAAGCCTAAGCATAAGTCTACCATGATCAAGACATAAAATATTTATTGCATTAAATTATTTTTAAAATCGAATATGTTAAAAAGATTAGGTATCTATTATTGTCATTTAAAAATATTTTAATACAATTCTTTAAACCACTCCAAGTTTGTCCCAAACCTAGCAAAAGATAAAATCTGATAAATAAACAAGAAATAGAGGTATATATTTAATTTCAAGTGCGAAATTAATATTCATATACAGGGGCGGATCTANGGATTTTTTTTTTTTTTTTTTTTTGGGTATATACACAAGAAATAGGGGAACAGGAAAGGAGTGAAAAATCAAGCGATCTGGTTTTAGAGTAAAAGTATTTTTATTGGTATCTGAAGGGGTGAGAGAGGTTTCTGAGTGAAAGGGATTTTGAGTGATTTCTGAAAGATTGAGCGATAGAAGAAAACTGAAAACTGAAGAAGAAGAAGAAGAAGAAGAGAGATTACAATGAACATCAATCATTTGGTTTTAACTTTAATGTGAATAATTGCTTACAGTGGAGACCCACCACGTGAACATGAATAAAAGTCTAAAAGATGGAAGGGATGAAGAAAGGAAAAGACGAAGAAAGCAGTTGAGTACTGCTAATTCCAGGTGGATCAAAGGCGTTTCATATAAAGTTTCCAAATAAATATTCTTATAACTGACCAAAACGCGTTTGTAAAACAGTAAAAGCATTTTCTCCTATGCCCAATTTTATTTTCCATAAAAGTGGAACCCACCGCTTGCGCATAATAATTTATCTGCATATGATATGATACATAAAAGTAATTTCATCTTTCAACTTTTTTACTTATTCTAATATAAAATAAAATTTAAATTAAAGTTTAAACTAAAGACGAGATGTCTAAAAAGAAAAAAAATTGCAGAAAAGAATCAATCCATTGATTTTAACTTTACTGTGAATAACTATGCCATGATTTTAAAGAGAAAAGTATTCAAAATTGGATGCATGTGAAGAGAATTGTCTCCAAATTAATTATTTTCTACCAACGACAATTGAGGTTGGCCACGGTTATTATCCATGAATTTATTTATTTTTTTATTTTTTTAATTGGTTTATATATAACTCAATTAATTTTTTAAAATTTTAAAGTTGATAACTAAATAAATCCTCTCAATAGTCATTCTTATTAACAACTTAAGTAGATCAAATTTAAAACTTCTTGAATAATATATCAAAATCTTAATTGACCACTAAACCATTAGTGGTGATTATTATCCGTGGAATTTTGTGATGAAAATTCAATGAGATTGGAAAAAAAAGTTGAAAGATGATTCAAAGTAATAAAGGTTTGACGATAATCAATTGAATTTATAATATTCTCTTTTGGTTAATATATATTTATGAAATAATTATTAATCTCAACTGCTTGCACAATATAAAATATATTTACATGACATGAAATGGATGTAATGTAAGTGAAATTTTAATATTTATACCTCTAAGAACTCAATGCATAAAAATCGTGGTTAATGGTTAAGGTTAATTTGACATAATAGCAATTGGGTACCCCGAATTTGTTGCTTTTTCTGCCAACAAATTTAATTAAGTTTTGTATAATTCACAGTGGATTTTATCTATTCAAACAATTTTACTCAAAATTGATTTGGTCAATTACAACAAATTTGCTCGTGTTGGAAATTATCCCTTTAAAACCAACTGCATAGACTCTTTTAAGCAAGCCTTGGGAGTTGGAAACACAAATATTTATTGAAGTAAGAAAAAGAAGTTTGATATAGTAGAATATTTGACCATTCACCTATTACTGAAACCTTTCATTTCCTTCTTGTACATAAACAAATTAATATTTTATATTTTTTATCTTACTGTTTTTATGTTTTGTAGATTAACAATCTTTTATTTTGGTTTGGTTTGGTATATATTCAATATTATTTGAAATTTCATAGCTTTGAGGAAATTAATTCATTGAGAATAATTTTAAAATATTAGAAGAAGATAAGATTAATTCTTGAAGATGATGTGCATATTACTTTATTCAATGAATTTTATTTAATATGCGGGGTTTTTTTATCAGTTCAAACAACAAGAGCTCACAATGAAAACCAATTAGTTGAAGTCAGGCCCATCAGGTGGATAAGTCATACTCATTTGTCTGGTCGCTTAAGTGATCTGTTCTTATTAGAAGATCTGAACAGCAGATCGCTTAAGCAACCCAAGTGTTACGAATTGATTTACCCAATGGAGCGAAAAAACAAAAATTAAAGGATAAATCGATTCCTTTAAAACCCAAGATCAGGGTACAAATTATATAGTTAATATGTCTAATCAAAATTCTGTAGAAACTATAACAACCCATTCAAGAATCAGAGATATTATCCACGTTTGGAGGCTCCCTCACTTTGTCTCCGATTTGGATTCGCTACCGATTCAAAGTAGAATCGAACGAATGGTGATCCACACGAAAAAAATCCGAAGAACCAAAGAGGGATTTGTTAGATTCTCTTTGGCTTCAAGAATCAACTTGAATCAAAGAAAACTTTGATTCAAGAACTAAGGGAAAAACGTGAGAGTGTAGAGAGAAGGAGGGCTGCCCGTTTCAATGAATGAAAAAAATGAAAAACTTATATTTTCCTTTAATTCACATGCACTTATATAGTGCATGTGTCAAAATCCTAATCCTCTAAGGAATAGGATTGGGCTCCAACCCAAATTAGCTCTTGTGTCCAAACACTGTCAATTTTTATTTTATTTTAATTATTATTATTGTAATTAAAATCAATTAATATATTTATAAAATATATTAACATTTAATAATAATAATGATTCATTTAAATATATGCGTACATATATTTAACTATAATCTCACTTATTTGATTTAATATTAAATCCAGGCAACAACCTCAGCAAATCTAATTGCACTGTAAGATTACCAAAATACTTTTCGTCTTAAAAGACGAAAATACCTCTTACACAAACTGATTCTCAAATAATCCTCTAAGTGTTTGACCCGTAGGCTCCTCATCATGCCGGTAGTGAGTAGCATTGCGATTACTATCAATTAATCATCTCACTACACACAGACCAAGATTGACCCCTAGCAATGTATCGTGGCCACCCGATAGATTCAGATTCAGCAAAATAGCTACCTATCAATGACACGGTTACCATGCAATCAAATCATTTCATCATCTGTTATCTCATCAAGACCAAAGTACATATATAGTGTCAACCTCAGTTACTCTCGATATGTTTGTATTCAGTTACTAGACCAATTACCAGAATAACAAATTAGATAGGGCAATAACTCAATCCCACTATGGCTACAACTTTAGTGTCATTGCCATTTATTGAATTGTGAAGTGAGATAACTTCTCTCATACCTGAGAGTGATGAATTCTCTATTGATCCACCATGTCTTGATAGACTCCTCAATGTAGCCAATCACCATTGTATTGTCAGCTCTAAATAGAACTGCATTGGGCTAATGTTAAACTACACCAATCGGTGCACAAGGCGCTTTGGTGATCTCAAGTCTAAGGATCACATGCACCACCATTCGTTAGAGGATTTGTTCCATAGACATTGGGGTTACCATCTATATGGAATCCTCTAGTGGGTCAGTCTAGTGAACTTGCCTATAGCAAACACCTATATGTTGCACCAGGTTGTCGGTAAACAACCTTGACAATTGGGATCAGTCACTACCTTTCGACAGAGTCGTTCAACACTATGATAGTCTTATCGTATTATCTGTGTCCTTGGTCAGAATAATATTGGGGCTACGAACATTTCTAGAATGACCACCATATGTGATCATAAGGTTTTCACTATCCAGATTTGAAACACTTGATACCCTTGTCACGGTTCTACCATCCTAAGGACATATATTAATATTTACAATATGATTTACATGATATAGAATAAAATATTTTTTATTGATCAATAAACATTATTACAAAGAGTCAATTCTATAATAATTGATTGCCTTTAGAGCACCTACTCTAATAATCTCCC